AAATGTTCTCTGCCTCCATTTTGTAATAAGAGTTTTAAAAGAAAATTTATTCCATATCTAGAGCTATCATGGAGTATTATAGTAATACGCAATGCTGTACATACTATTCTTATTAATGTTTCATATTTTAAAATATTTGTCAAGATGCATTCACCAGACAATATATAGTTTTTATGTGATTTTCAACTAGTTGCGACAATAATATTTTACAGTTAATTATTTGAAATACTAATTTCTCAGTAGAAATTATTCAAGTTATATGGAAAGTTCATATTTATTTTTAGACTTTATGGGAATTTTTCTGATGTTATAAAAATTACAAACACTATTTTTCAATAGAGTCTGCATTTATGACATCCTTTTATTTAAATGGGCAATTATACCATGTTGCTACCAAAATTTGTGTGAAGGTTAAGTGGATCTCAAATTGATTTTTCTATGTTCTCCAACAATCCACCAGCAATGATATTTAATATTTCAAGCTTTTATTAAAATTGTTAGTAACTAATGTGCTGCCTACAAAGATGAAAGTTTTAAGAACTGATTTGACTCAATTAGCCACATGATATATAGACTCCTTCACCCCCTGTGCTCTGCTAATGCTCATTCCACTTACAATAAAACACTTTTTCTTTACTAATAATTACTCTGTCCATCAAAGTTAAGTAAAATGAGAAACAGTTTTCTCTACCTCATCTGAAATAGTTCTGTTTCCAGTTGGAGAGCATCCAGGCATTGGCAGGTAGATGTAACTGCTTTTAAGAGCCCAAATAGCTATAAAATGTACATTGAAGTAAAAAGAAAATAATTTTCTTTCTATGTGAGCACTATGGAGGAAATTTGGATTTCTCAAGTTGAATTTTAAGTCCATACTGTTTTTTAACTCAATAGGCATGTGAGCTTTAGAAATTTATACATAGCCACAAAAATATAAATGATCAAAGCTTTTGATAGCCAGATAGTGGTGGTGCACACCTTTAGTCCCAGCACTTAGCAGACAAAGGCAGGCGAATCTCTGTGAGTTTAAGACCAGCTTGGTCTACAGAACAAGTAGATCCACCTCCAACTCCAAGGCCTCCAACTCAAGAGATCCACTTGCCTCTGCCTCTTTTGTGTTGGGGTTAAAGGCATGCAAACCACCACCTGTCTAGTTCTGAGTTTCTTAATTAAGTTCCATGTTTAAAAGTTCTGAAGAGTTTTCTTTATTGTACAAAGAATTTGAAAGCAGTCTAGTGAAAGGAAAGGAGTTTGAAATGACTTTTTTGCTCTCTTATATTTGATTACTTTATATGATGGATCTGTGCTACCTCACCACCACACAAGTATATTTAATGTGGCATGTAAATTACCTTGAATTACCCTCTTCATAGAAAGTTCATGGCTTTCCCAGAGTTCCCTGAATAGTTCAGGGTTTTTGAATAGATGGAAGTATGCATTGAATCTTTTGAACCCAGCAGAAACTAGACCTCATAGAACCCTACTCTTTAATATTGTTAGAGCTTTGGTCACTGTTCTGTGGCATCTAAGCCAATGTATCTGGACATTCAGGAGTAAATGCCCCATGATGTTGTCATTCTTACAAATGTCTTAAGTGGAACCTGAGAGAACTATGGTAGAAGTTGACTATAGTTCCACGCTGTGCCCACCATAAAACTTCCCTCTGCATCTTCCTGCATTCTGAACCTGGCCATCTGCTTCTTTTGAGTGTTCTCAAAACCCAGCTTAGAGCAAAATTTTCGACCTAGTAAGTCATTCACAGTATTCTACAGCATATGTCCTGAAATCGGTTATCCTCAATCTTAAATAGTCACATGGAATAGGAACAGTTTAAGTCTCTGCTAATAAAACATACTTCTGACCTTCTCTATAGACATATTCCAGTTAAGGAGATACTTACTTCATCTTACACATAAGTAGAAATTCCTCCTGCCTCAGCCTCCCTAGTAGCTACAGTTGTGTGAGTCACCCATTACATACACGAAAAATATATTGTTTCTTATTCCATTTCATTTATTTAGTGGCAAGTGTGCAAACATTGTATGGATGAGTGACTTCTATTTAATGCCCACAAATTAAAACTATAACAGTGCAATTTCATTGCTTTAGAGAAAAAGTTGATTTGAAAAAAATATGGAACATAATACAAAGAAAAGTGTGTTTTATATTTTTAGTCATATACAAACGTCAATTGAGGATGCAATTATTATTTGTAATATTAGGATATTAACTTATTCAGGATAGAGACTAAGGCTTTGATTATTATTTCATCAATAACAAGTGCTAAATAAGATCTTGCATTAGTGGCAATTCAAAAATTAAGTTTTATAATTAAAATAAAGGCATGAAAAAGTAACATTGTATACAAAGAGCTATATAGTTAAAATCTTTCTCTTTATGTCTTTTAGGTTTAGTTTTGGTTTTCTTTTTTGTTTGTTTGTTTTTTATTCATATTTGTTTTTGAGACAGATACTCACTGTAGAGCCACAGCTGGCTTGGTAGAACATGCTAGCCTCAAACTCACAGAGGTCTACCAGCTTTTTCTCAAAGTGGGTAACACCATGACCAGCATGCTCAGTTCTTTTTGTTTTAATGTGGAATCCCATGTACGATTTGGTGGCATGATTGTGATTGTGAAATATTTCAGGGCTGAAACATCTATCTCTTTTAGAGAATAATAACTGTAAAGATAAGTAAAGCCATGCTGCTTTCCATTTGTTACTGCAAAGAAACTATTCATAGAATTCTGTAACTTCTCACTTTGGAACACAGTATTTTTGAAATCATTTTTAGGCCTGTAAAAACAAATTGGTAAAATTGTATATCACTACACTCACATATTTTAGCCTCCAAAAAAGTATACCAGGATAAATGAGTTGGATAAGACCTTTGTCTTTCTTGTTAGCTTTCACTTCTCCACTGGTTTACAGAGGTTGAGCATCCTGAAATATATATTTTAGTAATCTGCATTGCAAATAATTGCACATAAGTGACCTTTGCAATTTGTTTCTGCCCAGTAAGTTTCTGGCATGAGTCTTATTTTTTTTCTTTTTTTCCCTTTGTGTGTGTTGAGGGGTGTTTAAGGAAATAAAACAATCACTTTAATTCTGTGCTTAGAAATAAAGACTAGTGTCTAAATTCTGCTCCACTGAAACAGGATGTTTAATATCTGTACACAGTGTTAAAATCAAAAATTATATGGTGATACTCTTCATTAATAAAATAAAAATGTATAGGAAGCATGTGCATTTTATGAAAAAGGCAGTTACAAAAGTATTCATTCTTTCAGGTCTATTAATGTCAAAATAGGTTTGAGGGTTGAATGATTTAATTACACTTGTTAGAAGAGAGTGAATGTTAATAGTTAAGTAATATCAAAAAGACCATGGATAAATGATACATCATTTCTGAAATCATGGTATATACTGTAAGTGTCAGTTACAAAGTAATTTTAGGGAAATGGCCTGATTTCTGCATTGTTTCCAATAGTAAAACAAGAGTGGTATGCCAACCAAAATACATTTGCACCCATGTTACAATTTTACTTCTGTGATCACCAACCATTTTTAACTTTAATTTTTAACCTAACTCTAGTTTTTAAATATTTATTTGGCTTCCTCTTTTCTTCATAATTATTCCCTTACTGTTCTCTCAATCACTCTTATGAATTAGCATTCAACAATTATGTAGCCAAAGAGGAAAGACAAGAAACAAATATTCTTAAATATTCATCAAACTTACACCAGACCTCGAAATTTTGTCAGCACATTCATGGTTTTATATTTATTAGTTATAAAAGGTTCATTTTCAATAGTTCTAAAACAGTGTTTGATAGAGATAGGTAGGTAGATAGATAGATAATTATATATAGTTTTAATTTTAGACAAGGTCTTGCTGTATAGCACAGGTTAAACTTGAATGTGTGATTACAAGCATGAGCCATCACATGGCTATTTACATTTTATATGACATGAGAGATGACAAAATGAAAATGCCAATGAGGGATCAGTGTATATTTTAAGCATAACATTTGAAGAAGGATACACTGTCATGGAGAATCATCAATGAGAAAAAATGGTATGTAAAATGGGAGCAATTCAACAAGACACACTCAGGTGTTTCTCTATGATGTTCTTCAGAGGCAACGGCATCCTTTTCCTACAGGTATTCAGTGGGCATCTCTGAATTGACAGTCTTAGGACTTGTTCACATGGTAATTCAAAAAATTCTCTTTTGGACTGCTTTAGAGGAAGAACGTGAAAGGAATGTCAGAGAGACCTTTCTTCCTTCTGTTCCTTCCCTTTTCATATGGGCTATGTATATTTTGTATGTATTTCTGCATGTGTATAAATGTATAAATTCCCACATGTAGAAATGGAGGTAGTTTTCTGATGTATATTTAGCAAACATATTCTAACAAACATGTATACATGTTATACATTAAATATTTCTGTCCAATTGAAAGATTTTCAAACTTGGTAAGCAATATAACTATAGAAACTCTTGTACTGAATTGTATGACATGTCTTGCACACCCCATATGTCATGTATTGAAGGCTAGACAACTAAGTTCCTCAGAACTGAAAGTTCCTCAGAAAAGGTATATTTGTAGAAAGAGCCTTGAAAGGGTAATAAACATTTAAAAAATTGTAAGGTATATCTTAATGCTACATGACAGGTGACTTTTTAAGAAATGGGGATTTGAAAACACACAACCAAACAGGTGAACAATTATATGAGGACACAATAAGAAGGCAGCAATCTTCAAGCCCAAGAGAGAGAGACTGCATAAGAAACTAAATATCCCAATACTTTTCACTCAGAATTCTAGCCTCTGGATGTGTGAAAAAAAAAATAAACCGTGTTGTTGAAAGTACTTTATAATGGCAGTTCTAGTAAACAAATATATAAATATATTTACAGAAGAAATGGTTTTATTAAGATTTGTCATCTAGTGGCTACCTCTGAAATATCATTGGACCACATTCCTTAACGCAAATTACAGCTTTACAAAGAATGCCAGAGAGCAATATGAAAAACTGTCGACCATGCACAACAATATGGTGAAGCTCTATGAGAACCTGGGAGAATACTTCATTTTTGACCCAAACACAGTAGGCATAGAAGACTTTTTTGGTGATCTCAACAACTTCAGAACCCTATTTTTGGTGAGTAGTATATTTTAAAACATGGTGAGTCATGTTGTTTATTTTTTGAACTTGTATTGATATCTTTATATATCTAATAACTGTACTGATTTCAGGTTATAGATTTTTATTCTCCTGAAGGAAAGTCAGTTAACAGCCACACTATTTGTCATTTGAGGTGTGCTCTTTTCACTCA